CCCTCTGTGGTCTTGGTGTCCAGGTGGTTGGCAGGCTTGTCCAGGAAGATCACATGGGGCTTTTGCCAGGCCAGCCACACCAGACACATGCAGTGCTTCTGCCCATTAAACAGGCTCTGGATTGGGCTTGTGTGCTGTTTCCCACTGAGGTCGTATCACCCAGTGATCTTCCTCATTTCCTCCTCCTTGATCTCTGGGTATTATTACATCACTCCAAAGGTCAGATATCTAAATCCAGCTCCTGTAATGCTGAAGTTAATGCCCTAGCTTGACATGATCTGCTGTCCAGTCACTGTCCAGGAAGTAGTTTCAAATAAGTGGATTTTCCTGTTCCACTGGGCCCCATGAAAGCCACTTGTGTATCAAGCTAATACCAAATTCTAGTTTATTGTAAACACAACACCTCTCTTTCATGTACTTGAAGCTCACATTCTGCACCTCATGAAAATAGGTGGAAGGATCCTGTCACAATGTGAGAAATAAAATGACAGACTCTTGTTTCTCGAGCTGTGACTTCTGATGCCATCATTTTCTGTGGTGTCCTCTCCTTGCTCTGGGCCTGCCAGGCCAGCTTGGCACTGCCATGAATGAAGCTTTCGATGTAGTTCTTCTTGTGTGCAGTCCGATCTTGCACGCAGAGAAACCTCTTCATTTTCTTCTCCTCCACTGCCAGCTGTGTCTTTACATACCGATAGTAATTACCCACCTATTACTTCAGTTTCTTGTGCATGTGGATGATTTGGGTATAGATACCATTCAGGAAATCCTAGGACTGGAACATGAGGATCAGAATGTGCTTAAAAACATCTTTAGTTCCTCTTCCAACCACACACAAGCATCTAAGTCTGAGTGGTTGATGGGCTTATTGGGGAGCACCATGAACGGCTGAAGAAAGAGGGCCCTGGTAATGATAACCCTCGTCCTCCAGTCTCCACTCAAGTCTTCCAGCTTCTTGTGCTGCATGGTAGGTGTGAAACTGTCTGTGCAAGCTCCTCGAGGCCCTCCTTTGGGCCGCACTGTCATCCAGCTTCTCTAGGCACTTAGAGTTCTGCGCGCTGTTTGTACTCCATGTCCTCATGAGCCAGCCAGCTTCCTTCTCCAGCAGAGCCTGCTCTGGGATCACTTTCATCACACAATGCAAGGTGCCTTCGAACTATGGGACATCTCATGAGTTAGACAGTAGATGTCAGTGTACTCAGGGATGGGCACCTGGTGCTTCCAGACAACAGCTTGGATTTTCCAATTTCATTTAAGCCAAAGAGGCCATCACACTGGCCTGAGCCTAATTCTAGTTTGGTGTCACTGAGCAGTGCTTGCCCATGGAAAGAGAGAGAGGTGTTGATAATGTGGCCATCAGTATCGTTGGCATGAGATGCCAGGACACCAGTGAGAGCATAAGCAGCTGCTTTATCCATCTCAAAGTCCTCTAGCTCCTTGGTCAGCAGATCTTCTCCTTTGGTCTCTGCCACCGGCCTCTTCATTTCTCTCCTGTGCCACCTGAGGTTGTGTGGTAGCATCTTCATGCTCTTGAAGTCCTTTTCTGGGCTGCTGTTAACCATTGACAGCTTCCTTCTTCTTGACCAGGTCACAGGACACGGTGACGAACCACAGGGGTAAGTTATTGTTCTTTCAGGGAATGGGCCTCGCCTCTCAGCCTCAAAACCAAATAATCTGTGTGGAAGAAAGTGAACATTGTAGTACGCCCTCTGAAAGCAAATATTGATAAATGTTCCTTTATTTTAAATAGCTTCTCCTTCACACAATTAAACTGTGTTAATTTTTTACATAAACACAGTCTGTTAGGAGACAAGCTAGAGATTATCTAGTCTAGCAGTTCAAACCTGTTCATTTCAGTGAGACCTAAGGTTTCCATGGAGGTGCCCCAAAGGTCTTATTGTTGCTGGAGGAAGGTGCAGAAGAGCCAGAAGAGAAGAACCTGGAAAAGAAGCACTTAAAAATGTCTGGGTCTCAGCTCCAGGCCTGTCAGACTAATATGATTCAACCAGAGTGGCTCCCTGCCTTTTTCCATTTTGTATAATGGGTTTTGATGAACAATTTCACTAAAAGTAAGGGTTTACACAAACATACACACACAAACATATATATCTATATATACATACACATATATATTA